CAATGAACTCTTTGCGTAAAGTCTGTAATGTCTGCCTATGTGCTCCAGTCAGGGGTGTTAATTATAACCTATCAAATGACAAAGGGTTTACAATTTTCCAGTCGTTTAACCGAATATTTGATTATTTTTTTAATGAGACGTATATGTCTATTTAAAATATGATTAAATGCACTTGAGTGCATATATATATATATATATATATATATATATATATATATATATATATATATATATATATATATATTGATCTATCAACTGGATAGATCAATATATAGATGTATACACACATCATTTTAACTTTTGCCACGCCCCCAGAGGTAGCCCTGGCACCCCCAACTTTAAAAGTCTAGCTCCGCCCCTGCCAACAGGACCTGAATTGACAGTGACAATAAAGAAAATACTCCCATGATCATAGTAAAATGATCTTTATTTTAATGATCAATAATCATCACAGTGCAAATCCATTCACATTTAAGGCAATTTACACATATTCTGTGCAAAAACAAAAAGGCACACAAGATTAAAGGTAAAAAAAAAAATCCCTTTCCAGTTATTCAGAAATCAGAGAAGACATTCAAGAACACAGGGAACATCCTTCACCTCCAAAACACAACATGGATAATCCAAAAAAAAAAAAAAAAATCGTATAAAACTTTTGTATAAAATGCCAATTTTTCACATCTCAAGGCACAAGACGGGACTGAGTGTCCGACTCCAGGCAAACTCTGTTTTCATTTGTTTTCTTCAAAGTGCTGCAGAGAATAAATGATATAAAAAGATCTGCATGAAAACACAGACGAGTTCTACAGTTTACTGTGGCTTTGAGTTACACTTCACTACACATGGGTGACAAACATGCATCATACCAACTGTCTAATGGTGGCTGGTGTATGAAGTGGGAGACATCAGATCCAAAAAGACAAAATGAAAAAACAACTGAAGTCTCATTTAGTTCAACAGAAAGCTGGCCAGAGTAACGACAGAACGGACGAGGCTTTGGCTGGACGTCACCATCAGAAACAAATCGCTGTTATGTCTGATAGCTTCTTATACTTATGTCTTAGGTATAATCAAACATTTAGAAGGTTGAACATTCATAGTGAATGTTACATGATGCAAAATGTCACAGCATGGATTTCAAAAAAAGAAGTGTGCTTTACAAGACAAAAAGAACGCTTTTAAAAGGACGAGATGACCAGGCACCACTCAGAAAGGCGGCAGACATTTTGATTTGTCAAGCGCTAATTAAAGCTTTTTTAATGAGGCTGAATGTAAAACCTAGCTGTTTATTCATTCCTGTCATGTAGGTTGTTGCTTTTGAGCAGAAGAACAATATTATATATATATATATATATATATATATATATATATATATATATATATATATATATATATTTTTTTTTTTTTTTTTTTTTTTTTTTTTTGTTCCGTTAGCTGCTATAAGCTAGGCTAGCTGTTGCTAAGTTAATGGTCTGTTTGCCTTAAAGGTCAGAAAATCCAGCAGAACTAGGCAGTTGTTTTGCTAAGTGAGCTAGCTAACTGCTATTAACCAGAAATAGCAATGCATTTATTAGCATTTTATGCATTCAGACACTTTAGAGTTAAGGTCACAGGACAATATTTGTCACTGGTTCATCTCAACACCATCAGATAAATAAACCAATCAATACTGCAACTTGTTTGTGTTTCATGTGCATGGCGGCCATATTGGATGACCCCCAGCTTTCCGAGATGGTATACAGACGACAGGAGTTTCACTACTCAAAAACTCAAAGATTTTTAAGAACTATTAGAGTGAACCATTCCCATCAGCTCTGAGTACAAACCTAAAAGAAAACGAGTTTTCTCCTCTGAACGGTGGCATCCAGAAATATGAAAAGTGAACAACAGCAGGAGCCTGAAACTGACGCAATTATGAATGGACTTCAGCCGGGACTTCTCTTTTATTTCCTCTGTAAGCCAATCAAAATGTCTGTCTACCTGTCTGGACACATCAGAGCGCTTGGCGTTTCCCTCTGACCGTGGCAGGACGCTCGTCGTCGTCCTCACTACTTGATGTTACGGCAGCTGTCCCCCATGCAGGACTGCAGCTTTATGAGCCGCTGGTTCATGTCTTGGAGGATTGACGGATCCACCTTCTTCACGATGTTCTCCAGCTGGTGTGGGTCTGAAGTCATGTTGTACATTTCTACAAAAGACTGCAGATACCAAACAGGTTTAAACACAGTCTCTGTTCACATACACCAGTCCAAGGTTCAGGTCCCAAGTCGCCGTTACCTCGCTGTCTGCAAACTCGCAGTACTGCAGGTCCTGCTTGCCGTCGAGCGTCCGCACACAGGCGTAGGTGTTGTTGAAGGCGTCCTCACACACGCAGTCTGGGAAACATTGCTGAAAAACGAGTTAAAGTTCACTTGGTATGCACACATTTGGAAATCAAAGTGACAACAGATTTCTGAAGTGAAGTGTTGAAAACAACGGAGCACTTCTCTTCCACTTCCTAATTACACGTTAAATTGCATTGGACTCATATAGAAAATCCCATTAAAATACACGATACACGTCCCATTTTAAACACGTTTAGAAAAAGCTCACAAAATTCAGTGAGTGTTTAGATTACATTCTTTCTGCATGCCATGATCATTTACAAAAATTTTACTCATCATTTTACCTGGAACTTATTCCTTGTAAATTCCAGCATCCAGGAATGGCAATTTAAAACACAGAAATATAAATACACAAAGAATCCTAAGTCTGGAAGCAGTTCTAGTGGTCCTAGTGAAAAATCATAGGATTTTTTTAATTCTAAAGTTTTTATTAGAATTTTATGGAGCTCATCTGGTGACAATACAAAAAAAAAAAAAATGAAAATTTTGCTCCAGACTTAACTCATGGAAACAACTTCTTTAATTTGTGGACATGGCTCCGTATCTCATGGGAACAACTTAATTAAACAAGTCACGGTGACGAATTGGACAAGTCGTGGGTTTGAGTTATTAAGTTATGGTCGTGGCCACAAGTTGGTTTTTTCCTCCCACCAGATGGGCTGCACTGAATTTTCCCTCTGTCAGATGAAATGTGTTCACAAAGCTCTTTAGACAAAATTCTCGGCACATTTAGGAGGAACTTTTAGAGAGGCTGAAAGCGTCTTACGCAGGGAATATGGAAAAACCAACAGAGTGGAGACGGACAGCGCCGTGGCAACAGCAGGTTCTGCTCCCGTTTGGTTTTTGCTTCCTTTCCTTTCCCATGTCATGTTGGCCGTTTTCCAGATCAAACAAGTTTACAAAGGCAGGAAATCACAGTTGACAGGTGTTAATATCAACTAGATGATGTAACATTACATTCACACTTCCTCAAACCAGTCAGACTTTTTAGGCTGAGTGGAAGTTTGTCTATAAATCTGAACAAGTGAGAACTAGATCTGACATCATAAGGATCTCTGTGCGTACAGGTCCTGGTTTTTAGATCGGTGATGTTGTAACCAAGAGCAAATCTCTCTTGTGCGTTTTTGAAGACGTCAGCATTTGCTTACAGACACTCCGGGGCCAAGTTTGGGGCAAGTCGGGTCCTTGGTTGGATTTCCTTCTCCGGTGTATTCAACGAGGAAGAACGGTCGCGCCGTGCTGTTCCGCAGCGACGGGGCCTGAACAGAAACCTTAGTCAGGATTTAAGGTGGACTCGAAATAATAAAAGGAAAACATGTCGGTGAGCGGAATGAGGTAGCTGACCATCTGAGCGAGGAAAGACTGTCCGTCCACGTTGATGGTGGACAGGTTGACGCCAGAAATGTCAAGGAAGGTGGAGGCGAGGTCGATGTTCAGCACCGGAGCCTGAAAGAGAGACATAAAAAACACAAAAAAACAGGAATGTTACAATGACTCATATGAAAGAGCTGAAAATCAGCGTAGGTGGAAGATGGTTGTTACCTTTATCATCTGGTTTGGTTTGATGCCAGGGCCACGGACCAACAGTGGTGTCCTGATGTCAAACTCATACAGCTGCCTCTTATCGATGGGCAGAGAAAACTGACCTGGACAGATCGGACAGAAAAACTAAACTCAAGTGTAAACACACAAAACACAACGTGAAGCTGCTTATTTATGTATTTATTTTTGAAAAGATGAACGTCTGTTGCAGCTTTAAACTGTTGTTTCTGTGTTAATGGGATGTGCATATTTTTTTGAAAATAAACTAAAATCTCACGAGACACAAATGTCTTTTTTAAAAGATGCTAAATGAAAGTTGAGGACGCTCTCAGTGGTCCACCGGAGCAGACCTGTGTGGTAGCCGTTATCTGAGGTGTAGAAGATGTAGGTGTTGTTCAGCTCGTTTATACTGTCCAGTTTCTTCACCAGCTTCTCCACCATGTCATCCACAGACAGCAGCGTCTGCCACCTGCAGGAGTGAAACATTTTACCTTAGTCTCAACACAACGAAGCATCACGTCTGGTCAGAGAGTCGGATGAGGAGAGTTTTGAACAAAATGCAGAAGGGCAGGTTCAACACAATTTTACTCTCAAGTGTTGGTCAGGGTGATAGAGTGGGGCAGAAAGTGTCACTGTTGTAGCTGTGGTCTGAAGGTAAAACACTGAACAGTTTGTGTCCAGGTTGTGTGGGGTCCACAGGAATGTCAGCTGCCACAGTGAGTGAGGTGATTCTGATCAGACCTGGATCAGTCAACCTACATCCAGCTCAGCGCTAGCTGTGTTTCCATTGGCCATATATTTGCACAAGCTGACATTTTGAAAATAAATTTGCTCAATGGAAACACGGCGATTTAAAAAAAAAAAACTCGTTTGTCAAGAAAACATCTTGGCACTAGCAAGAGGTGAGTTTGTTTTTGGTTTATCTCGCAAAACTGCAATGGAAACTTTTTTTCACCTCACAGGAGCCACATGATGTTGCTGCTGGCGCAGACCATGAAGAAGAAGAAGAAAAAGACCGAAAGTAGTTGGATTGTGGCGCTCCATGTTTTTTAATGATTTATCTTGTGAACAAACTTACTCATGTTTGATTTTAACTGTGTTCCTTGTTTAATGAAAACATTGCATTTGTGAAACTGGGACATTAGCAGAATATTGATAAAGTTTTCCGTGCTTATGTTCCGTCAATTGAAGGAGACTCCGCTCTGGTTCTACATGTCGCCATCATCCACAATCGATCCCACTTTGTTGTCTCACCATTGATGGCTGACTGCTGAATATTTCATAACAAGGAAATTAAACAGATGGACTTATAATTTACTGGAGGTGACACATTTGTTTATAAAAGGTTGCAGAAGCATTCTGGTGCAGAAAGTGCTGCAAAATGTTGCGTGTTCCAACCGGTTCTACCAGTTCCAAGGTTTTTTTTACAGTGAACGTTGTACATCTGCATTTTTGTTTATTTTGTGTTTGGAGATTTTTTTTTTTAAAGCACAACTCCATCCCACTCCACCTGTTCCTACCTCCTCCTGTAGGCATTGTCCAAGAATGTGAGGGAGCTGTTAGGCATGGGGTTGACAGGCTGACGCAACAGCCAGTGTTTGTCCTGGAAACAGCAAACAGAAAAGAAAAGGACATGACAGGCGTTCCTCAGAGATCCAGACTAAAAGCAGGCCTCATGTTGGATGTGACACACCATCCATGTTCTTACCTTCCCCAGTTTGTCAAAGCTGCCATCTCGGGGGGCTTGCACGTTGTTGAACTCCTTCTGGTACTGCGGTGCCGCCGTCCATGGGGAGTGAGGCGCCGGCGGCGCCAGCATGATGAAAAAGGGATGCTGGGGGCTTCTGTCATCCAGGAAACTGAGTGAACGGTTCAGCTGAAATGGGGACAAAAAAGATTATTATATCAATATAGCACATGACAACAACAGTTGTTTACCCAAGGGCTGTGCAGTTCAATTACATAAAGCAAAATAACAAAATACAAATATACGTCATATCTGTCATTATAAAAGAAAGTCAAACTCTGAATCAACAGAATAAAAACGGGTTTTGATCAAAGATGTAAAAGACTCAACAGTCTCAGCCGTTCCATGGTGACAGACCTGTCAGCTGTTTTTCAAGCTTGGTTCCCTTCAGCTCAACTCAGCGCTCATTAAGAAGGAACCTGTTGGTTGGATTTGGACTTTGCAACATTTAATGGTTTAAAGAGGTTCAGGAAGTGGCACAGTGGTAGTCTACACTGGTCCTTCACTGTTCTACATGTTTTTAGGCGTTTCTTTTTTGCCAAAAAAGTACATCTTTATGAACAGTTCAGCAACAACCTTCTTCCCTCCATTGTCTTCCTACAAAATTCCGCTTGATTCTCATCTCCATTCACAGCATAGTCTGGGCTTTCTACCATAAAACTGGATTACTCCAGTGGAATTTAAACCGAGCCAATCAGAGAACAGTGCTTATTTCCTCACTGCTTAAAACGCCAATATATTTCTGTTCAATGTCCTTTGTATAATATTCATATGGACAGACCGGAGTAGATTCAGTTTTTATTGCTTTTTTTGAATATCTTTAGCTAAGAAATAAAACCAACTGTGATAGGCTCGTCTGTGTTCCCTCATTCTTCATGTCTGTCAGTTAAAACCAAAATAATAAAAAATTATAGAGTGCAACAATTAACATATTCTATTATTTTAGTAGCACCAGGAATAAGTGTTGCTTCTCAGTTTGAAACAAAAAGCCTTTCTGTCATGTTATCAGTTGTAGTTTAAAGGTTTAGGTAATTCTGTCACAACATGTCATTCTGTGAGAACGTCTGCTCTGATGTAAAGTCAAACTATTAAATTGAGGCTCCGACCAGAAACACACACGTTTGGTTCTCAGTATGCGTTTCACACAGGAAGATCTCTGGTGGTGCACCACCTTCCAACATTCATTTCCTGTGTGAGTAAGCATTGGCTCCTCTGTAAATAAGTCTGGATTCATCCTCTTAACAAAAATAAATAAACTAAAATTAAAATGTAATTTTTTTTTTACCCCCTTTCAATTTACCTTGCCAACTTTAGCCCACGGCAAAAAATGTTTGAACACACCTGCACTAAAGGATGTTTATTTGGCAAAAAAATTTATTGATTATGACTGATTTGTAAAAGCAACAAAATGGATAAAAACATCCAAGGGAGTGAATACTTTTTATTTTAGCATGTTGCGTTTCTGTTCGTGATAGTACTGATTTAGTTTGCACCACACAGCACTTCCTTCTTCTCAGAAGCCAAACCTCCTACTCACCGTCACGAACCATGGTGATTTGTTTTAGTATTTCTCTCTTGGTTAAATTTAACTCGCCCTCTGAACCTGTTTGTTTGGCCGTTAAAAATCGGTGCATCTTCACTTGTAGAGTGGGACTGTGTGGAAGCAGAGATCTGCCTTGCCCTTTAAGAGTCCGTTTTAAGTGGCTTCCTGGAGATAACAAGAACATTATCTCGTCATCAGGAGATAAGGGAGCGTGACTTCCTGTGATAACAAGATACGCATCTGTTTGGTTTATGAGCTGACAAGACGATTATGGTTCTGGTTTAATCGTCAAGCGCTCTGATGATTTGGACCAGCTCTGTAGATATGGAAACCAATGTTTTCATAACTAACATTTTCATCATCAGCCCGTGTCGACATGCCAGGATGGTCACCGCTCGCTTAGAAAAGAACGGAAGCCGTTTCTGCTGGAAATCATGTTCCTCGTTCCACAGCGTGAAATACCATTCACATTCTACTGATCTCAGTTTGTGTGTTACAGTGACTTGAAGAGAGAAGAAGAGAGACGCACGCAAAATACGCAAGGGAAGTTTAGAGAGCGTGATTAAAGTAACATCCTTATTTTTGGACGCCAGGAAGGAAGCCAGGGATACCCAGAGAGAACATGCAGAAAGCTGAGCATGCTCCATCCACTGACCCAGTCAAAGTCCAGGCCGGAATCAAATTAGGAATCTGAGGTAGGAGAATTCCTATTTAAATAATTTCTCCAATCTGACAATGCGACATATAACCTGGTCTTTATAAAAATGTTTATATCTCCACTACATTGTTTTAAGAAAATAACATCGTACACTGGATTAGTTTCAGAAGAGTTTTCATCCACATGAATCCGCACAAATACGTCTTAAACATGCCAAACCCGTAGGGGGCAGAGTAGCACAAAGCCAAATCTATCTCAGCCAATCAGATTGCTTCCAAACAACCACAACTTCCTGTTGCGAATTAAACATGGTGCCAGGATGTTAATTTGTGGGGACAATTATAAAAGTTAAGCTACTTTTAAATGTCGTTAACGTGTGAAATGGAGTTATTTTGCAAAGATCAATAGGCCAAATGTCAGCCTGTAGGTGTATGAGGCTGATTGGTGAGACATTCCCTAAAAGCCTCGCATCTGAAACTGCAGCAGAAAAAGACGATTCCACAAAGTTCTGGATCGGGGGTTGAAAACAATGGCCTTTCAGATTCAGAAAACCATGTGTTATTCCATCAACTTCAGTTATACACTCACTCATTCACTATTATAAAATACATTGAAGTTGGTGGTTGTAGCATAGCAGAACATCAAAAGGTTAAAGGGATGTGAAAACCTTTTATTTCTGTTGCTTATGCTAACAGCATGTTGGAATGTCTCCGTCACCTTAGCTCTGATTTTTTTTTTTTTTTAACTTTCAGTGTTCTTGGTTGAGGCGTTGCATGTTTGGACAATTATTCCCACTGGTTTTAGACGCTGTGCTGCTGGAAGAATGTTCGCTTTTACTTTTTGTATTTTTGGAGAGTTGTTATAATGTGTAACCGTGGCAAAAAGGTTTTGTTTTCACAACTGGTAGTACAAGATTAGCATCTCAAAAGCTCAAATAACAGCTGAACTATCACCCCAAATCCCTCAGGAGTTGAAAAGGAGGAGGTTGAGCCCATCATATCCCCTACTCTAACATCTCAATGACTCTTTGAAGATATTTGGATATGAGCTGAGCCAATGGCAGCAGCCCAGGGCCCCGACTGTTTGGGAGAAACAAAGATTTATTTATTTTTATTCATTTTTTATAAATGCATATTGTACAAGCAAACTCAAGGTGTTTTAATAATGCTGATTTTTAAAAAAAATATTAATAATATAAGTAATTAAGTCTATAGAAATTTAAGAATGTAAAGCTATAGCACATCCTGTATCATGTAGCCATCAGCCACACGCTTTTAAATCAACAACTCATTAATTCATACCCACAGGCGGGTTGGTCTACCTATTAATGTACTGTAATTTCAATGTGTAAAATACATTACAAAACTGGCTCTGGATGCGACAACATTTAATTTCCTTTTGGTATAACTAAAGTATTTTCTTTATTTAAATGCACAACCAAGTAAGAATGAAAAGTGAGGCTGCTGTTTGACCCAAACCAAGAAAAAGGATCTGAAAAACAGCAACAAATCTGAAAAAGTAAAGAGTCAAAGAGCTCCATAAGGTCAGTGAAGGTCAGGCTGAATGAAATGGAGAGAACTGGATAAACATGAACACATGAAGTTTCATTCAGATGGTTTTAGAGCCAAGTAGAGATGAGTCCTGATACATAAACCCAGGAAGTGAATTAGGGCAAAAAGCAAGCCTCCCACAAAAACAGATTCATTCTGCTCTTTAGGAGCACAATTCCTTACATTTTTTTTCTTTATATATATATATATATATATATATATATATATATGTATATAAACTGCTGATTACAAATTCTACATGAGCAGACAGCTGGTTATTCTGGTTAAACCAAAGGATTATCAACCATCACCTGATGAGGAAATCTCATCACTACATAAAGACGTCCAACATGTTGAGTAAGCTCAGTAAGCAACTGCTGCAACTTGTTTCTCTGGCAGATGATTAACTTCACACATCACTGAGCTTTTGATATTTCTGCGTTGCAGCAGCTGATTTGTGCAGCTGTGCCGTAAATTCTTGCGTAAACAGCCACTGATTTCATGAAATGCTGCCGATCACAAGGGTGAGTGTGAGCAGGAGTCACAGGTGTGTGGGTGTGACTGTGACTCACGATGAGGTCGGTCAGGTAGTCCTTCTCGTAGCTGTCCCCGTGCTTCTCCGCTTTGCCGTTCACAGACAGAGTGTAGTTGTAGTATTGGGAGTTCCCCACCTGCAGCGTCACACAGCGCTGGTGAGGCGAGAGCCGCGACGGACCGCAGGACAGACGATTTAACGCAGCACTCACCAAGGCGTTCCACTGGTCCCAGCCAGGGGGAATGTGGTCGACGTCTCCAGCGGCTTTGGTGCCGTACTGGTGAAAATGGAGCACACAGTGGGAGTCAGAGGTTACTGCAGCGGTTAGGGCCAGCATAGACGGGGGAGAAAAAACAGCAAGGAAGAGTACATTTCTGCCATAAAAGCTTTTTGAGATCAATCTCAGAGATTTTTTAGACAAAAACCTTGCAAGGTTTTGAATTTCAAAACTCGAAAATTTTCTGCTTTTGAAACCCTCAAATCTCTGAGGGTTTTTTTTTTCTAGAGAAATTTCCACTGTACTAGTTCAGAAAATTTATAGAAGAAAATTCAAAATTTCTGAGGTTCATCTCAAAATTTCTGAGTGCAATTTGGAGGTTAATGCAATGGCAAAGTAAAACCAGTATAGACAGAAAAAATATAATAGGAGTAAATTTCTGCCAAAAATCTTTTTGAGATTAAGCTCAGAAATATTCTAGAAAAACAAGAAAAGTTGTTTGAAAAAGTCAGATGTTTTTTTTACTTTTTAAAGTTTTTTCCAGACAATTTTTGAGATAAATCTCAAAATTTCTGAGTTTTTTCTAGCAAATATTTGACTTTTCGAACTCAGAAATGTCCACATTGTTCTAGAAAATTTTAGAGATTAATGACAAAATTTCTGAGTTTATCCCTAGCAAAGTTTTGACTTTAGGAGCTCAGAAATGTCCTTGTTTTTCTAGAAAAATGTATGCCTTATTTGTATCTACAGTGTCCCTAATATACCATCAGGTTAATGTAGTCAAAATGACACACATAGGCTCAAATATAAAAATAAAGGCAATCAAACATCCATCTGTGTGTAATTAATCCATAAAATGTGTTTTGTGGTTCTATGAAAGTGACGATAAGGACGTCTTTTTTAGATAACTGTATGGCTGTGACTGTAGCCCCACAAACACAAACCTTATGACCCCAGTCACATAACAAAAGTGTGATGTGCATCACCAAGCTGCTCACATTAACTGCATTTAATCATATTTTCAAATGTATTGATATGAAATGATACTCTCATTGAATAAACAGTGGAGAATTTACTGAAACAAGATGGATGGCTTTGGGGTTTTTAAACGTCATTAACTGGATTTATTGTGACGATAAATCTAAATTCTTATCGCGATAAAAAAATGTATAATGATAAATGATAAGCGATACGATAAATGGCCACCTCTAATGTGAAATTACAAAATTCAGCACACAGAACAGGCATCGGTGAGCTTGTTTAAAGCCTTTTGTTTTGTTCTAAGACTTTTTGTCTGGATAAATCAGGACGGGAATCCAGACCTGGTTCAGGTATTTCCCCCCGAAGAACGTCTGGTATTTCTGCTTGCTGAGGTAGACGGGGAACGCCTCGGCTTCAGGTCCTTTCTGCCACTGAGCGCTGGAGCAGTTCCCGGACAGGGAGTTGTTCCGCACCTCGTGGTTGTGGGGGTACCGACCTGACAGGATGCTGCTCCTGCTGGGGCAGCACAGCGGCGTGACCGTGAACTACACAGGAGGAGCAACGAGAAAGAGAGCGACTCAGCATAACCCAAAGAAGTAATATGATTCAAACATTTTATTTCTAAGTTATTACACGCATCGGGCATTTAAATTTCAAAATATATATTTTATAATTATCTCAAAAGACATAAAAGTAGATCATTTGTTCAATACAGTTTCACATTTCTCTTCTTTTTTTAAATCAGTTGACTTAAAAGTCATAAAGAAACAAACAGAAAAAAAATTAATATACTTTTAATTCCCTTTTTACATTAAAGCAGAATTTAAACTTTCACTATTTTTTAAAACCTCAAACAAAACATTTTAGGGTTAGGGTTAGCATATTCTTCAAAGTGTTTCAAAGGATTATTCAGCTCGATCATCCTGAATAATCCTAAATATGACAATTTAGATAAATATTTTCCCTTTTTGTCCTGAAGTAACTGAATCATTTAATCAATGTATGGTCACACACCTACTGCTCACGAAACAAGACATCTACTGATTTAACTCACACAAATGACTATGTAGATAAATAATAAACCTCTACAGAACATTTTCTTATTTTGTACTATCCATATGCTTTTCATGATGCCTTTTACTGCAAGGTGACTGAGTGCTCTGAAAGGCACATGTGTATAAAAAAATATTTCCTCCTCTTTGGGAAAGGAGAGTGAAAAACAGCAGAAAAAAGGACGCATCACTAAAATGGACAATCAAGCTGAAACGGGAAAAAAGGCAAATACTGAGATTTTTGTGGTTTTGGTTAAACTAATCACACACTGTTCCTGCTGAATTCAAATGAAAAGACATCTTTTGTAAGCTTGTTGATTTACAAAAACCAAAGTGAGCACATCTGTGAGACTTTGTAGCTAAAAAGAAAAAGTGGTTTTCCTGTGAAAAGGACAAAGTAAAAAGACTGAAACACTCACAGCGTTCACAAAAGTTGCTCCTGCTTCTCCTATTAGTTCTTTCGTTTTCTTCATAGGCGTCTGCCGAAATGAAACAAGAAGTGTGAGACACGCAGAGCTGCTCGTGTCCCAGCATGCAAACAAACTAGAAAGCTGACAAAAGAAGTTAAAGATGCAGCAATCAATAGACCAGACATTGGTATGACTGGTGATCGGCAGGTCAAAAATAAATAAACCTGAACTTTTTTCCCCCCCATCAAATGAACTAAAACTATTTATATTTTTTTGCTCCATAAAAACAGATGGTGTACGGGGTCAGAATAATGTCAATTTTAAAAATGTATGCGTAGGAGTTTAGATTTGTAAATTTAAGTCAATAACACTGGAAAGATGGATGGAACGTCATACTGTACATGCATTCAGATCTTTCTTCTTGATTTTAATGGTGGTTGGCAAACAACAATATGAAGCATCACTGCCAACAACCAGTAAGGAGTGTGTCATCCATCTTTGTGCAAGAATTTAGCCTTTTAATGAATACACAGTGCGATGTTTGATCGATTTTCCAGTGTTCCTTACTGACAGTAAGCTCAGCGGTACAGTAAGCATCGGACACTTACTGTTGATGTACCAAGTTTTAAAATGTTACCATTTCCAAGCAGCTTAATGTCTAACAATTTAAAGAGAGACCAGTTTCTGTTGATTGAAAAAAATGGCTGCTATGGTTTTTTGTACATCTTACAACAAATACAAATTTGTCTGTTTAACAATATTTATTGTCCCAAATGAAAAAAACTGAGTCTTGGTGAGGAAACGAAAGTAATGACACCTGCCATCTTTAATGTAGTTTCAACACTAAAGTTGGCTAGCTTTCTGCTTTAAATGAAAGTTACAAGAAAAAATTAAATCTAATCCAGCGTTTTTGTCTAGTTTCTAATGTAAATATCTTAGTACACTTAAAATATGAAGATAAAACTGACTAACACGTAACTTTCCGGAGGATACAGGAGCTTGCTGCAAGTCAGTTTTTGAATAACATTTTTTTGTTCATTTAAAATGGGGAAAAAATTATTAGTCTAATGTAATATTCAAGGATTGTTGACTTAAAACTAATAATAATAATAATAATAATAATAACTATTATTATTATTAATAATAATAGTTATATTATTATATTAACTATTATTATTAGTAGTAGTAGTAGTAGTATTTCAAGTGTACTAAGATATTTAAACTAGAAAAAAATACTTGGAGAGATTTTGTCTTTGCAGTGCATGTTCTGGGTTATTTTTAGATTTAGTGTAAATACCACAATACTTTGACATTGTGGCAGTTTTACTTATGATTACCATACAATGAGAATTTCCTACCGGGCCATGCCTAACATGCAGTATATACACCGAGGCATTTATTTATTTATTTATTTAGTACAAATCCTGCAGACATTAGAAATATGGGCTTTGATTACAATCTTGTATATGTAAGATAAAAAAGCTATCATCAAAAACTGGCAGCACATTTTTTTTTCTTTTACGTTTTATCTTTTGGGGGGGAAAAACATCGTAATCAACAGGTCAGACTGAAAAGAAACCCACAGATCCGTATATCGCTGGAGAGAAGCCTGATCGGCGCATTCCCCAAATGCACTCGTGTCAGAGTGTTGTAAGATTATATCAGTCATCATCTCCATTTAAATGATGATCAGTTAAAGGTGTGACATTTCTGATCTACCTGCATAAACATCTGCTCACAGCGAGTAGCATAATAACACCATCTGTACAAGTAGTCGCGGTTAAAGTGATTAATCATTAATCACCAAAATAAAGTGGGTAATTTTTATTGATAACACTTAGAGATCATGTGATTACATGACTTCAGACCCCAGAGTAGCTATAATATCATTGCACTTTAGGATGTTTATGTTTGAAGCTCAAAGTGTTCGTGCAAAGTTTTTATGATGATGTCACACCGCTGTCACGAGCTCCATCAGGATCAATGCAATCAATAAAGCATGTGGTTCCGGGTGCACCGACTCACCATCCCCCCCAGCACAACGTCCTGGTCGTCCACCAGAACGAGGACGATGTTGCTCGGTTTGACCCCCTCCGCGCACCTGACGCAGCAGGTGAGCCACGCCGTCAGCAGCGTCAGGGCTGCGGCTGCGGCGCCTCCTCCTCTCCGCCGCCGGTGTACCGCAGCTCCGCCGCCCCTGCCTCCGCTCATGCCTGTCGGGGGGAACCTCGAACCGCTACGGGAGCCTCCGCGGTGCAGCTCCGGGCCTTGCTCCTCTCGCACGCTCTCACACCGGCGCTGCCGTTCAAATGAAGGCCCCGTTCAGGTTCGTGCTCCGGGGAGAGCGAGAACGAGCGCACGCGGTGCCTGGAATCCCGGAGTCGGACTTTAAAGTTTGAGGAAGTGGAGTCAAGAGTCAGCTGTCATATGACTGAGACCGAGGGGGAGGAGACGGAGAACAACAACTGCTGACCAACTTCACACCTCACCAAATTCAGTCACACTTTACCGAGCTAAAATAGTCCGATGCAGTTTCTGTTGCATTTGGCCTATACAAAACTTGTCTGTCTTATAAATATAACAGAATGTCTTCATAATCTCCCGAATACATTTTCACTATATTTTTTGCCGTCACATTTTGCCATGTTACACAATCATAAACATCAGTGTATTTTATGTAACAGAATTACATTTGAGTGGAATTAATTTTTTTAGGTTTTCTTTTTCCTTTTTTTTTTTTTAAAAAAAAAAACAACATATAAATCTTTTTCAGCTTGTAATATGTTTTCTTCCAGGTTTTTCCTGTAATAAAATAATAAAAAGATAAACCCAACACCGTACAGCCAAGCAGAAAGGGCCGAGCTTTTCACATGTTGAAGCTACAAATACTTTTAATCTGCATCTACATCCTTTGCTACAAATCAAGCATAGACTAAAGGAATGTCATGTTATTATATTTTAGGTAATAAATTATTATTTTCTCATTTAAAAAAGAAACTGAATTACTTGAGGGGTGTGGTGAGGGGTTTGCCTTTTTTAAATGTATTTCTAATTATACAGAAAAAGTTTAGGTGGTTCTATGACATCTTTAGAATATGCCATTTTTTAGCTGATTTATTGATTAATGAATAATCAATAGTTACAGGGAGCCCTACTATTCAGATGATCTGGGAATATTTCAGGAAGATGAAATTCTATCACAAGACAAAAGTGAGAATGACATGGCTCAGACATCTGATCACTGAAATGTTGAAATGATGGTTCTCTAAACTTTCCAGATCCTAAGTCTCATAAAGAGCCTGCAGTCAGTTCTCAAAAAGCAACAGAAACAGAAACCGACAGATTGTGATTCAATCCCAGTGTTAAATACACAATGGGTCACTATGAGTCGGCATTTTAAACATTAGAAATCCAGCATGTTAGAGTGACAAAAAGTTCTGAAACATAACGACATAATTTTGAGCTATTCGGTCAAAACAACTGCTGAAACTTTCAAAATGCTTTAAATTGTTCTTTATCATACAAGAACATATGGAGAGATTTTTACATATTTAAGACCCAAAATACAATGTTAATGATTTTATTCATACACTTTTTGTATTTTTAAATTAGTTTTGAAAAGTTTGTATACAAATTTTGTCGTATTTTGTTAATTTACAACCACAGGTTTTGATTTGTTTGACTGGGAATTTTTGCCTAGACTGTCATGAAGTACTCCATAATTTGAGGTTTTACGAAATTAAAACGTTGTAAACATTTTTGCAATTAAAAATCTGAAAAGTGTGGCCCACATTTGCATTCAGTCCCCTTCTTCCTGCCACCAATTGTCTTCAAACGCTGTATTAAATATTGGAGACTTTTGTTTAATTTAATTTCAGATTAAACACAGATTTAATCTCACTATCCCAATGATGGCAGCATCATGCTGTGGGGATGTGTTTTTTATGGCGTTGACAGGGAAGCTGGTCTAAGCAGGCACTGAAAAGGTGGATGGACCTAAATCCAGGGTTTAACTCACATATTACATAGACTTAGAATTAAATATTTCAAGCCTTCTTGTAATTTTTATTATGACCTACAGAAAATAAAAATAAAAAACTTAGAATTTTACACAAATTCGATAAAAAAGTGATCATATAAACTGAAATATATGATGATTAATATATTTTTAACACTTTTTGATCCTTTGTTTGAGCCTGTATGTCTGGGATCTTGATTTCTAAATGAAGATTGAACTTTACTGTCTTCTCAGTCCAGTTGCTTTCCTCCTCACCCTGGGTGACATTTATACTGTATTCATCTGTATGTAGTGACTCTTCTTGGTGCCTTAACTCCAGCTATAGCCTGAATGCATTTTGCCTAATAATCCTCTCAAGGTTGAAATTATTCCTGTTGCTAGTGAACCTTTTCCTACCAAACTTATACTGTATTTCCCCACTTTTCACAAGGAACTCTGTCACTTCTTCTTATGTATAAACAACAAGAAGTGTAACTGTATCATATGATAAACAAACTGAAGCTATTGGAAACTCATTATTATTATTATTATTATTATTATTATTATTATTATTATTATTATTATTATTATTATTATTGTTGTTGTTGTTGTTGTTGTTATTTATTTATTTATTTATTTATTTATTTTCTTTTTCTTTTATTTACCTATTTATTTTGGTTATTATTTTTCTATTTTTTTTGTTGTTGTTTTTTACCAGTTATGTATAATCTCGTTTGTTCCTTTTTTCCACTTATGTGTGTGGGGGGTTTTTTAAGCACCCTATTCTAGTTTTCTTCAAGTTCATATCTGATATTGATGCCACATTTCTTATGCTGTTAATGCAAAAAGATAAAATAAAGAAAAAACATTTACGCGGCACCGTTTGGCTTTGCGTGCTGTTTCCAGTCGGAACTATTTTGGTAACGCTCCGCCGGTGGTGCGGCACTCCAAGCACAGCTGCATCTGCTTACCACCTCTGCTCTGAAACATTGCGGGTATTTCTACCTGCTGGAGGGATGTTGGGGCGACAGTCGATTTTATGAGACTCAGTGACTAAACTACATTCATTTGTTTTTTTTTTCGTTTTTTTTTTTTTTTTTTTTTTTTACAAATGTTTATTTCAAGACAACCGCGCTCGTAATGTCCGCTTTTATCAAATAATAAATTATTAAACTTAGGTTTTTGGGTCATGTAAAAGAAAAATGGTTCCTTTAAAGCGGAGGAAAGTCGCCAACTCGGGCACTCTGAACGCTGGCACACACAATAGCGCAGCAACACAGCCAAACAAGTTCCCTCAAGTTATTTTATTCTTATTGGAAAGGAAAATGGGAGCCAGTCGAAGAGCTTTTCTCTCTCAACTCGGACGGAGGAAAGGATTTCAAGTGGAGGAACTGTTCAGGTGAGGGAACACGCACTGACGGTGACAAGAAATAAAATAGACAACTTTCTATACTAATTTAGTGCATTGAAAAGGTATTCATATTTTACATTTTGACTAGTCGAACTTCAATAGACCAACACAAAGTAGAACATTGATATAAAATTTAATGAATAAAATATTTTCAGCTGCAACTTGTCAGGACAACGATATTTACTGGCTTTTATGGACGCGTGACGATGTCTTTGAGAGGGCAAACTTTTATTATTATGTCATTATTAACATTATAATACTAATAATATACTAATTGAAAATGGACTCAGAAAGATAACAATATTATTGTTTATTGCAATAATTTCTGGAACAAATTATATCGTCTGGCAAAATTTGTTATTGTGACAGAGGAAACCAATTTTGTATGCCAAAAAAGTGGCAGGTTTTTACTTTCTAGCAGAAAAGTGAAACGTTTTTCATCAAAGCATGTTTTATGAGTTACAGCGGTCAAAGTCTAATTGACTATCGTGGTAAGACCTGTAAATTGACGTCCACAGCAGGTCTCAATTCAATCTGACTTATTATTATTTAGCAAAGAAAGAGGGGATGGACATTTTCCCCTAGATGGCAGGGAGACGCCCTAAAGGCTTACAACTGCAATTAGTGGCACTAACACAAAATATTAAAACAAATTCAAAACCTTTCACATTTTTACTGACAAATAAAATAGAAAACCATACACAAATATCATTCTACATTAAAATGAAGCATTAATTTGTGTCAGCCTGTCTCCAGTTTGTGGTTGTGAGATGAAAACCGGTTTTCACCCCACAGTAAAAACGTGACGCACGTTATCTGTGAGAGCAACACTGCACAGGAGGCCAGGATGTGGCTGGAGGCTCAGGGAGCAGGGCAGGCAGGGCGCCACCTGCTGGACGTCAGCTGGTACACAGAGAGCATGCGTGACGGACACCCAGTGGAGATACTGGACAGACATAAGCTACAGGTGCAACAACATTTTCATAAATGCTCAGTTTGTGGATGAAAGCATTATTTAGGTCATCTTGTAACAGACAGAAAGAAATGATTACAATAGGTTGATGCAAACATGTTGTCCAGATAAATTGGACAAATAAATATTTCAAAAATTCAGTTACCTATAACATTAAAATTATTTATATTAGCAAACACCTGGTGGAACTGTCCATCTGCTGAGCTCATGACAGGAGCTACTTCTCAGAGCAACACTGGCAAAAAAACTTTATTAAAGTGTCAATAAAGGAGCCATGTTGTGAGGACTTCCTGAAGGCGGAGCTTCAAATAGAGCAGGAGTTTCTTAAAGAGACAGAGGCCCAATTTCAAGGTGTTAAATTGCAAAATCAAATTTCTTTTAAGTCATATCTCTAATGTACAACAATTTGTAGGTAACAGTTCCCTGACTGCTATGAAATGGACTCTTTTGCCTGGAAACACAAAATACTGCCTCTTTAATATGTTGGTTGTGTGTTTTTCAGGAGTTTGCAGTGAATGACTCTGAGGTTACTCCCTTCTCCGTTCCCGGCTACGCCTGTCAGAGGAGGTGCACCCTAGAAAACCACAACGCTGTCCTGACTGTAGGCACCTGCCCTCAGCTAACTCAGGTCATGTGACTGTTTCCTGAAATCTCCATGTCACATCAGAGCTGTGTTGTGTTTTTTTTGTTGTTGTTGTTGTTGTCTCAGGATGCTCTATCGCTTCTGGCTGAAAACGCAGAGCTGAGCGACGAGGACGGCAGAGGCGTGGCGTTCCGCAGGGCGGCCGCCGTGTTGAAGGCACTTCCCTCCGCTGTCACTAATATGTCCCAACTCACAGGCCTGCCCTGCCTGGGAGGACACTCACTCAGAGTAATCAAAGTCAGTGGATGGGTTTGTTTTTATTTCTTTCTAAATGAATAGAACTGATTTTACCATCTTTTATTCCTGCTGTTTTTCAGGACATTTTGGAGAACGGAACATCAAGTGAAGTTGAATCCACTAAGGAGTCTGAGCGGTTCAAAGCATTAAAGGTGTGTCAGCGTATGGAAATGAAAATGGCACTTTTTGATGGATAACTTAGTCTGCTGAAGAACTGTTTTCAAATAAAACGTCATGCTTATGTCTGTGAAAAGCCTGCAATTATGATTTTAATGTTTTCTTATCAGCTCTTTGTCTGTAAAGCTGTATATATTATGGTTCGTATTTTGACCCTCAAGAAAAATCTGAAAGCCCAATTACAAAAGTAAAGATTTTGTTACAGATGCAATAATATTTAATATTTGTAAGTGGAGCTTTTTTATGTGTCTGGAAGAAGTGTATTATGTATATCAAGATAAAACTTTAAGTCAATATTGCTGATGCTTATTGATGTTTAAATGTTTTGGGGAATGATCAGACCTCCAAAATGTGCTTTATTTGAAACAGGAAGTAGCAAAAATTATGATAAACAATTTATCTTCACAGGGCCTTTGCATTGCTTTCATTATTTGAGCCTAATAAAATTAGCTGAATAATGCAGTTCTTTTAAAAATAAATGAGTAATACACTAAGCTGAAAACCATTAATTCAATTTAACAGTGATGTATGAGTTTTGTGTAATCATTCAACAAAATTAGCTCTACTAGTTACGCTGTACCAACCGTTTTATGGTGTGTAAATGCAGCTTTTGCTGTGCTTCAGGTGCTGACGGGTATTTTTGGAGTCGGGTCAAAGACCGCGGACCGATGGATCCGAGAGGGGATCCACAACCTGCAGCAACTGAGAGACTCGGGGCAAACGCTCAACCGTGCTCAACAAGCAGGTTTTTACTTTCTACCACTCAGGAACTGTGAACATAATTTTGTCCTGTTTTATATTTGATCCAGTGCAGCTGACATCTGACTTGATCTGGTTCTCATGGCAGATGAGCTATTTTGTGTTTTCAATTTGTTCTGTTATTCCTTAGATCTTATTTAATAAACTCTAATGGTCCTCACATCACTCCCAGACCAGAGTACAGAATATTAAGGATTAAGATTCAGAGATATTCTTATGTAACATGACTCCAAATTATTACCACTTGACACACTTTAAGTAACTTTAATTGTGTAAAAGTTACTTTTTGGAAGTTTGTATCATGTTATAACGTCATTCCCTCATCAAAAACACACCTGCAGCGTTGCCTTGATTGTTGATTCATGCAGGTTTGAGAAATCCTTTAATCTCCATGGCAACTATTCAGCTGTGCAAAATGAATGGGTGAACCTAGTCCCACCCCTGAGGGCAAAGCTCCTCCTCTTAGCTGCAGTTTCTGAGCTTCCAAGTTTCTGCATCACAGAGCAGCTCTCCCCCTCTCAGCTCCTTCAGACTAACCAGCAACAATTAGCAAACACTTGGTGTAACTGGTCATTTCAAGGCGTTAAATTATGATGTCACATTTCTTTTAAGTCATATTTAATATAGAGCTCTGGAAAAAATTAAGAGACCACTGCAAAATGATCAGTTTCTTTGATTTAATTTTTCATATGTATATGTTTGAGTAAAATGAATATTGCTCTTTTATTCTGTAAACTACTGACATCCTTCTGAAACGCCAAGCAAGAATTTAGTATTTATTTGCAGAAAATGAGAATTGGTCAAAATAATGAAAAAGATGCAGTGCCTTCAGACCTCAAATAATGCAAAGAAAACAAGTTCATGTTCATTTAGAGACAACAATACTAATGTTTTAACTCAGGAAGAGTTTAGAAATCAATGTTTGGTGGAAAAACCTGGAGGTTTACAATGGGGTTCAGGCTTCAGGTCTCTTCATTTTTTCAGAGCTGTTTATCCAGTAATTTAACAGCAACTGAACGTAACATAGTTACTGGATTGTGCTATAAAAAGTCAAACAATTGCTACTCAAATGTTAAAGTAATTCTCCAATAATAACATCAAACATCATGCTATCCTATACAGAGCGATCATTAAGCAGTGGACTTTCATCTTCAGATCGTCAGTTGATAATTAAATATGAAAGAAAAGCAAAACAGGAATGTTGTGACAAAAGTAACACTCAGTACCTGGTCCTGACCCAGCAGAACACTGAGTTCTACATCCTTCATCACATTATACACATTATGTGCAAAATGTGTGCATCACACATGCTTCAACATGTGACAGGATTTATGTTTAACAAAATTAGGTTTCATTTTTTTCTCATTGAGACCCAATTAAGTCATTGTTTGATATGCCACCACAGATAGAAACCAGGAGACAGTGTGACAGTAGTGCAAGAGACAACAAGACTGTGGCAAAAACGAGCAAAAGTGATTGAATGCTAGCAAAGTGAAACAAATGGTAGGCCCACTGAGGAAGAGGATAATCAACAGTTGATGGCAATCAGCAACTAGGTGTGAAGTAGGCAATGCTAATAGCAAAGAACAAAAACGTTTCGCAGTGCAACAAAACAGGAATAGTGGGAAAGAAAAAAACAACAACAAAGATTTACAGAAAAACAGAACCAAGGAGAGAGATATATATAGATATATATAATTTTTTAAGTGTGGCATAAAAGCAAAAACAGAGGAAACGTGTCAAGGGGGTAAATATGTTTTCCCACAGCCCTCTATGCTGTGGTCCTGCAGGTCTGGAGCACTACGACGACATCAAGCAGCCGGTCAGCCTGGCGGAGGCTGAAGCCATCAGGGGGATTGTGGGAAGAGCCGTCGCCTCCGTCTCACCAGAGGCTCAGATTGTTCTCACAGGAGGATTCAGAAGGTCTGAAATCAGCAGCTTTATCTGATGACACCTTCGGGAGAATTTCATATCGAATACAACCTAAAAACCAAAAATGAAATCTGCACTTCAATCGGGATCATGGATATCATGGTTTTTTGTCCTAACATTTTGCTGATAAATGTACCATGGAGTATTAGGGCTGGTCTTAAGATGAAAATAAATTTGTAGTACTACAAGAATAAACGCAATATACTGAGAAAAAAGTTATATGAGAAAAAGTCATAATATGAGAATAAAGTTAAATATTACAAGAATAACATAATAATAAAACAAGAAAAAAAGCTGTAAATTGTGATATACAAAAAAAGTATTTGCTGTCATTAAAACAATCTTGAGTAATTTTATGACTTGCTTCTGGTATTTTTGTTTTATTCTGGTAATATTATGACTTTATTCATATAATTTAAAAAAAAATGAAATACTCGGTCGTATAAATGAGATGTAAACACTGTGTGTTTTGATTTTTTTCCAGGGGGAAGCTAACGGGTCACGATGTTGACTTCCTGATTACTCACCCTGAGGAGGGCAGTGAGGTGGGACTGATGCCCAAACTGGTGTCCTGGCTGGAGTCACGGGTATCATGTCATCTCCAAAATGTGCTTTTAATCTGTGACGTTATTTTTCTTTGTGCATTTCCCAAAAAATAAAAATAAAAAATAAAAAAAAATAGCAGGAGCGAATAAAGAGGTGTGAAATAAAACTACTAGCTTTGCGTTGCAGATAATTGCTATTTACTGTAGCCAATGAGTAATGTTTGCTTTGTTTTGTAGATTTAGTTTATGCTGCTTTATTGATAAGCAAACAGCCTAAAATGATTGTCGTTATGTTTAAATCCATTGTGACTTTCAGTAAAATTCTGTTAAATGTGATCAGTGGCATTTTTTTATACGGGCAGAAATTCAGAGCGGTATTAGAAATGGGCGGGTCGACCAACAAGAACTAGAAAATAATTTATGCTGAAACGATGAATCAGTTTCTACAATAATCACCAGTAATTGATTAATCATTAACTGGAGTATACAGACTTAAAAAAAAAAAAAAAACTATTTTCTAAGAGAATAACTTACTCAGAGCAGTAATTTAGACAAAAATGCTAAAAAATTTATTTATTTATTTTTCATTTTGTAAGAATGTTCTACCCAAAA